AATACTTTTTCATACTTGAATTAAATTATCGATCCAAATTTCGAATGAATAATTTCAACTTGTATCACGTCTTTTCACTGATAGACTCCCCTTGCAAATGTGAAACCTAACATCTAGCCTAACCATCCCCGGAGATCTAACGAAGTGCTAGTCAGAACAACGTATCACTCACAGCCGGAAACTAAGCACAGTTACACTCTCGCGTTAATTTCCCGTCGCCGCTAATTACTGCTAAGCATCGTCTCGACATTATCCTCAAAGAGACCATGAATGAACTTTTCTTACCTACACACACCTGAGTGTTTCAGACGGTTTATCTCTTAAACAATACGAATATGCAATTGTCTCTTCGCATTTTCATCCCTTCCGTTCATCCTGGTTTGAAATGAAACTACCCCGCCTACTGCCCTGTCTGTCTGCTAGTGACAAAGATGCAGTGGTTCACGGAAAGTGAACATACACGTTTTATTTGATGAAAACACGATTGCGAGAAACTCGATTAGTGAAACGATTTGGTATAATTTGGTATAATTTGAAATTCAACGATCTGAATACGTACATGGACATTGAAAACAAGCACGTATTCAGTTACAAAGCGACTATTAGAACATTAGTCACACATAAAGTTCAGTGATTCTTCTAACTCTGACCAATTGACTATTTATTTCATTATACATTATCAAAGAAAGCGTACTATTATAAAAAAAGAAAAGAACATTATATCTGTTAACTTTTATGAGATAAAGGAAAATTTTTAAAAATTAAGAAGAAACAAAATTTGTATAATTCTTTGTTCAATAAAATGATAAGACTTCCCAGATTTTAGGGATTAAAAAAAGCTCGACTAATCGAAATTGAAAAAAAGAAAAAAGAAACCACCGAACCAAGAGTCGGCCCTCCGGCTTATTTCCATCATAGCTGCTTGTACGTAGACAACAACAATTCATTCACTTTTTCTTTTTCTCGCAGACGACTCGTACAACAACCAAGCGGAGAAATCGGAGAGAAAGAGGCCCCTGTACGTATGCAGGGTACTGCACTCGACTGTCTGGGTGGCTGGCACCCAGAGGGGTGACGAGCAACGATGCACCGTGACAATTCACAAAACCGTGCAGTCGTACGACAAATACGAGCTGCTAGAGAACATAGACAATGCGGCTCGCGTCAACTGGGAGTACTGGGACAAATACAAGAACACGCCGTTCGGCGCCGTGGCCACGGAGAAAGAGAAGATGTTCGTCGCGCGTCACGCCGCAGAAACTGACAAAAATACGTCGTCGCCGAGATACACCCATTACATCGGCACCTTGACTGCCTCAGACATTCAGGGGAGTATCAGCTACGTCAGAGACGTAAGTAATTGCTCCGCGATTTACTTTTGAAAGAGGAGGGGGGAGTAGGGGAGAGACTGTATGGGGTGTGTTAATTCTCTCCTTTGGATTTAGCCAAAGTGACGACGCTTTGCTAAAGAGAGTCATGTTTCTGTGAGCTGGATTACAAGGTAGTTGGGTAATGCAGGGTGGAAGATTAAACCGAGGGGAAGAAGGATGAAGCGAAGGGTGCTCCTTCAGCTGTGTGAGGTTGTGGTTTAGAGGCGTTCGGTGGTGGATTTTTTTCTCTCCGTTGGAATGACGGCTGATAGGGAGAGGAACGGGGTTTTTACCGGGTGTGAATGAACCCTTTCACGTGGAAATAATTTTTGATCAAAACGTCGATGCACACCTGAGCGGTACATGATTCTTTAATTTTACAGTAATAACTGCTGTGGCTGGATTTTTGTGGACACGTGCACTTTTCTTTTTTAAAGCTGTATTATTATTATTTTTTTCAAGTTTTTGTAAGATGTTGTGTAAAAAACATTGGGGCGGAATGTATAAACAGTATAAAAAGTTATAATTCACAACGAACATGTTCACACGTTTATTATTAAGAGGATGAACGTCGATTATAGGAAAGTTTAATGAACTCTAATGAAAGCTAATAAACTTTGAGATATAACTTCTAATTTAAATTTCTCATGGGATGAATTTTCTACCCTTGGTAGCCAATTAAGGGAGTTGATAGCCAGCTACGGAAGGAATTCCGAGCATTTTTCTCAGCTTATACGAATAACGAATTAAATAATAAATGTCTGCACAATCTAATATAAATATTGGAAAAAAAGTTTTAATTGGAGTGATATTATAATCAAATTAAAAGATAAGTTTTAACGAGTTCTCTCTTTCCATTTGCTATTAATTAAATAATTCGACATAGAAGACAGAAAATACAAAAACAACCCGAATGAAACGAAATTACAAAAGTTCAACAAATAAAATATTATTCTATATCACGAAATGTATATATAGAAAACGAACAACCTATGATACTGTTGTCACTAAGAAGAGGATTTACGACGGTATTAGTAAATCATTGCGATCTTTTCTTCCGTTTAGGATGGCACCGAAGGAACCGCAAAGAAAGGCGACGTTCTAGTCGAGACGGAACCGATCTACTACGATTTGACAAGAGTTAAATTGAATTGGCCTAAAAAGCGTGTGATTAAACGTACGCCCATTATCCTTGGCAAAACGACATTTGCCAATAAGGGGCCGGAAGCTGCGAACATGGCGCAAGCTTTTACCTACCAGTACAAGTATTCCATGTACTGGGGTCAAGGCCACGCCATTCTTAAAGGCCTAAACACATCAATTACATTGACGAATGGCACGGCTTTACCAAAAATAATGTGGGGCACAAAGGAAACTAACAATCGTACCGACGTATACTCGTGAGTATGCTTTCTATATCGTTCGAAATTAATCAATTAAATTGATGCACAGTACGTGGAGAATGATCTTTCATAGGATTTACAATTAATATTTTTAAGATATTCCAGGTCGTTTATCACTAGGGAAAAGCTTTCCAATCAGATGTCTTCAGAAGATATACGTTATCAATATAATTTGTTGATACGTAGTTACTAATTAATCGTTTAATAAATAAGAGATTAAATATTGGATATATAAATATAAATTCAACATATATATATATA